TTCTTTCAATAATTGTAATAATTCACTATTATTTTCAATTTGTTTAAGGTACACAATTGGGATAAGTTTATTTTCATAGGTACGCAATATTTGTCTACCCTCATTTAACACATTTTGGATGATTGTCGCTGAATTATTAGATGAATCTAACTGTAAAATATGATGAAGTTGTTTAATAAATCTCTTTCCAATATTGACTGAATGTTCAGCTGAATATTCCACTAAACGATAAGACACATAGAGAAATGTGATGTTTCAGTTTACTTTATAGAAAAACAAACCTGCTGTCTCAAAAGTGTCACGAACGTATCTCATAAATGCCATACACGGGTCACCATAGAGAACAATGAATTTGCCCATTGGTGTTTCAATTGTATCTCGACCGGTTCCAGATTGTCCTGGTATCCATATGCAATTACTCACAGGTAAGTTAGCAATTTCCTAGATGATAGCGATTCATTCTCAACATCAAGCCCTCGATCTGTCAGAAATCGGTTTCGGTAACTATAAGTCTAATCTCGATCAAACTGCAGGAAAAAATTTGACCATGTCAACGACCATGACGACATGTTCTTTTGGCTTTATCTGTCTTCGCCAGTACAACAAAGACCGAAATGAGACTGTTCATAGATGCAGGATTTTTCCATCTCCTAAGCTGCCCGAGAATTCGTGTTGATCTTAAGTTGAAGTTAGCCCTTATGGCTACAATATACAAGAAGCCGATTTTTAAATTTACGCTCCTTTCGGTTTTAGCATTCAACACAAGCCGAACATCCGAATAACCCGATTTCAGATTTTCAGAACTCTTTCTCTTTATTAAAAATCAGATGTAAGTTTACAAATTTGCTTCTTGTACATTGTATTAGTTTTAACTTGAAACCAGTCCGAGCTCCCCATCGCTGAAGTTGACGCAGAAATCCTGCAAATACGAAATCTAAAGATGAACGTCACTTTCGAGATAAGGCATCGCGAGTTCTCCGGTACAAGTTTAAAGCCTTCTAGCAAAACTCTCATAATTTTTGTTTAAAACATCAACCAGAGCTGGAGACGTCTTATTCTGACCAAAAATGTTTGCTCTACATTCGGGCATTAGTGGAACTCTTTATGAAGTTGGTTTTTATCAGAAAAGTGCAAGGTTTGGAGAGTTAGTGTTTCAAGGCTTCCAGAAAACGCTTTTGATACCTCCTCGCTGAAGACCAAATAAGTATGGATTCTAATAGTTGGCACAATGGGCCATCCGATGGTGTGCTTAGCTCAATATGGACTTTTTATAGAAAGCTCATGTTTCAAGCAGCAACTGAAAGTTGTATCAATCAAATGAACTTACAGAACTTGACCTATCCAAGATTCGAAGATTAGAAATTCGATTTGATGGTGTATGCAATTGAATTAATGCATTAATATATTCTTTAACTGATAAATTGTTCTTGTCTGTGAATATTACTTTGTCAACTTTCATAAACCTACACGAAAAAATCAATGAAACAAAGTTCAAATTTCTTTCTTTCACATACGAATGGTTTGATATCATTTGTCTCGTCTGAAATATTATTAGAAAGATCACAATAATATCATCATTTAATGAGCTAATGGTAATGATGATTTTTTGTTGAACAATGAAGAGTTTAAACACTGTCTCCCTCTTAAACTTGCTGAAGAATAAACCTCTTCATCGAGTCATAACGATAACAAAGAAAAGCGAATGTATTGTGTCAGATGGACGTATAACGTCTTTTTTTCATTCATGACAGAATACTGACATTTAACAGCGAAAAAGATTATCAGGAAAATACAGTATGGAAATAGAATGTACACGACACAAGAATAATTGCAGCTTACTTGGCCAGCACTGAGATCGACTGAAGATGTTGAAGAACTTCGTTCACTATCAGTACTGAAATCATTGTCGTTTGATCCAGCTAAAACAACAAAATAAAAAGTAATATAGATTATATGTAAGTTTAGATGATTTTGTACTCACCGTTTGATCGCCCAGGCGAATTGTGACTTGAAGATGGCTCATGTGTAGAAATACTTTTGTGGTGACTTCTTCTTGCTAAAATAAATTTAGGAATGATTGATCACTAACATAAAATGTACATGTAACACACATTGGAATGTATTTGGATTTATTTCTAATCGTTCGCGAACTCTTTGCATGAATTGGTCACATTCTGGAGTGTTATACACTATATAAAGTATTTCGGATGGTGTCTCAATAACATCACAACCATCGCGTGACTGACCTACGAAGAAATTTAACATAATGTACTCAAGAATGTCTCGAAAGCAAACTACCTTGATCCCAAGAACAATATGGGGTTGGCCAATTTGTCAGTTCCTAAATCAATTCCATTCATAGTTAAGATCAGTTTACAAAAACTGAAAATAAAACTTACACTATCGTTTTGGTCGTTTATACACAAATACCATGTCTGTTGTTCTATATGAGAAATTAATCTTACTTTTGCATGTTCGTATTCCTGGACGGACGATTCGTTTTTTGATACAACAGCAACATTTTTAGCAGCCATTGAACTAAGGAGAAAGAGAGAAAGAATATTTACAAGATTGTTACTTTTTATTTAAAGCCTTACGTTGCCATCTTTTACAATCGTTGTCTCCGAATTTGTTTTAAATTTTTAGCCAGGTAGTATAACAAAAATAAAGATTTGACAATGTAAAGACTTGATAATGGTTGCTCGTTAAAGAAAGACCAGAACAGCGGCATTCATTTTGCTTTTTCTAAGGTGTATATATACTTTCAAGAACTAGAACAAATATTCTTGTAACATGTTTTCTTTTCTCGTTCTCTTCTTCATTTCTATACTCATTCGCACGGGTGCATGTGACAAAAATAAAATTTAGATTTTATTATTGCGCTTAAAGAATTTTATAAAAGCAGGAAAACAAAGGCAATATAAGAAATGTGCTTTTATTTTTTCTGTATTACATCTCTCTATTAAGACTTTCAGTTGTATTATGACTAAAATAATGTGAGACAAAGAAAAGTTGAGTTTAGTTTATTGCGGGAAAGAAAGAAAAAATTGATAAGTGTTTTCTTTTTACTAACAAATTTCGATATGTATATCGATATGTATTTCTTGCTCTGTTAAAGGTGGTAGGACTTTGTAAGAAAGTAAAGTGTGTTCTTTTTCCTACTTTCCTGTTCAAATCAACACCTTTTTGACAATATAAATTCAAGGTTCAAGGTTCCAGCAGTTTCGTTATACGTGTTATTAGAAATTGTTATTGTTATATTTGGAAATGTCTCATGCAGGCATGAGTCACTCAATGTACATTGTGAAAATGCCGGTTTATTCCAACGAGTTATAATCAGTTGGATACTGGCGTAATTTTACCTCCGAACGGATGTTTGAAATGGTGGGAATTGTTGGAGTTACGGAAGATGTGGTGTGCGGATTTAATATTGATTTTCGGTCCGCTGGAGGAAGCGTGTCGTATTTAGTCTTGTTGTCTCAGACCATTGCCATGACAATTAGAAAGCCCACATGGGCCATGACAAAATATATGAACAAAGACATACCAGTTCTGAAGACGATCAAACGGATGGAAAAAACGATAAGGGCGGCCGTGATTACTAATGAGAAGAAGACCCCCAGCCAACGCATGTGCATCGGATCGTAGGTTAGATGATGGACGGACGGAAAGAAAGCTCCAATAAACCCCATCAGACCGATGCGAGTTGCGCTAATAATAGTCACCATAGTTAGATGCCGAATGACCCATCCATAACACTAGCCAGTTGCATTGGTGACATTCGACGAATAGACAGCCAAATCGCTCGGCAAGCAGCTGGATGAGCATGCGGGCTGAAAGTCTGAAATCCGGCAAATGGGTAACAATCGGCGGGATATGGGACATTCAGAAACCATGATATCTTCAGAAGAATCTACAAATGGGTGATGAATAGTCGAGCAGGGTGGCTCATAGCACTTTGCCTAGATGTATCCCCTGAAAATTATAGTTCCTAGAAACCTTTGATTCATTTTACAAGCAATTGTTCATTGAATGAGACGTCCGGCATAATTGCCCTCCGTGAAATCATTCTGCTTTAACTGCTAAGAGTATTATGATTATTCAGGACTCCCCATTTCGGTTTCTATGTGTAGTTTTGACAAAGTTTTAGCTAGCAGTCAGTGGTGTTTTCCAAGACGCATCTCATCAAATGTTTATCGCCTAATTTCGTCATTTGTCACCGACATTCAACAGGAAATCAGCAGAATCTATAAGATTTTCTTCGCTTGCAAGACACATAACGCAGGTTTAATTTCTCACGGAGAAGATATTTACATTTCGTAGTAAACTGTCATGCATATAAATCTATCGGAAATATCTATACATAACCAATGAGGTTTTTGTTCGGTAAAATATTGCAAAGGCAATAATTTCAGATGGTGAAAAAAATATCTTAATGAATGTGAGAATTATCGTTCATTGAGCTCTATCGGAAAAAAATACTCTTTCGATTAAGAATTTTATCGTGATACTTCTAATATTTATCGTCATAAAGTAAAGTATTTCCTTATTTCTAATTTTTATTGTGTTAAACTTATTATTGCAAGAATGCCATAAATATATTTTATCCCAATATAACTTGAGAGTTTTATTCAGAGTCGTAAATATAACTTTCATTGCGCTATTCTTGTCTATCTCGACAAGAATGGCCATAAGTTTATATTCCAGTGCATATCGCTGCGTTATGTTGTTGCACAGCCCTTAATGTTTTTCTCAATAAATATTGACATATTGCAATATTCTACAATAGCTTTCGTACAGCCCGATTTTCTTTACCTTACACATTCTTCTTTGAAATGACAGTAGACAAAGCTCAGTCGATAGCTTGGTTAAGGGCGCAACGGAAAGCCACTTCTTATACATATGATTTATTTCTACAACACTATATCTCTTTAGCGAGCCATTGGCTGAACTTTTGCTATGTGTCGTTTCAAAGAAGAGTGTTTATACAAAATAAGGTGTTCCTGAACTCTGTAGGTTACGGACCTGAAGAGTTGTGAGTTCCACAAAAGGTGTCGGACTCACGCAAAAGCGCAAAGTTGAAAAAAGGGAATATTTTAGAGAACGACATCCATGACTTGTACACTAGGGATGCACCAGTACCGGTAAACTGTCCTTAACAGTTCACCAGTTCACGGTACCGGTTCCTTAACGGTTCACCAGTTCACGGTACCGGTTCCTTAACGGTTCACCAGTTCACGGTACCGGTTCCTTAACGGTTCACCAGTTCACGGTACCGGATCCTTAACGGTTCACCAGTTCACGGTACCGGATCCTTAACGGTTCACCAGTTCACGGTACCGGTTCCTTCTAGCATCAGAGTGCTGAAATAAAAAATAAACACATGGGTGTAGCCTACACCCATGTGTTTATTTTGTGAATCATCCTTAACGAAATAACGTATATATAAAGTATATATAATACATTTATGTACAAACTATACATAAATACAGTAGACAGGCGAGTACTTTCAAATCTCGAATAGAAACTTCTGACTACGTGATGTGTCTGACCAGTTCTAAAACTGAGAATTTTTGCAGAATGCCAGATTATCCTACTATTCAATGCACTGCAGTTGAAAAAAGACAGCCATAAATCTCCTCAAACATTGTAACCCACTTTGAGAAACTTACGAGAGTAGAAGAACTGTTAAGGAACCGGTACTGTGAGCTGGTGCACCGCTAAGAAACCGGTACTGTGAGCTGGTGCACCGCTAAGAAACCGGTACTGTGAGCTGGTGAATCGGTACCGTGAACTGGTGAACCGGTACCGTGAACTGGTGAACCGGTACCGTGAACTGGTGAACCGGTACCGTGAACTGGTGAACCGGTACCGTGAACTGGTGAACCGGTACCGTGAACTGGTGAACCATTAAGGAACCGGTACCGTGAACTGGTGAACCGGTACCGTGAACTGGTGAACCATTAAGGAACCGGTACCGTGAACTGGTGAACCATTAAGGAACAGGTACCGGTAAGAACGAGTTAAACAGTACCAGTTTACCAGTAAAGAACTGGTACTGTTGCATGCCTATTGTACACAAATAGATAAGTTCCGATTCGACGAATCAGAATTGTGATTATTCTATTATTTATTGTGATTATTGAATTGATTCGAGAACGTTCCAAAGTGTTTCTGGAGCAAGAAAATTATTTGACATGGTTACCAGAAATCGGAGACGGAAAAAATCTACACTTTCGCTTTACACACTTTAAGTGATTTTTGCAGTCACTTAGCAGTTCCCTCAGTCATTCAGCTAGCAATAAGACACTTCAAATGACACTTATGTATTATAATGCATCAACTAAAAGTGAAATTTTTCCTTGTCGTAGAAATCTCTCTCAAAAGTGGGCACACTTTAAAAACAATCTGAAATGCATTTCTGCGCGTTCAACAACAACTTAAAACGTAAATATGTCTGACTTTACATAATCAAATCTGATATTTTTTACGATAACAAATTCTTTTCACTTAGGAAGTTACCTGAAAAATATATCAGCAACATTACAACTTTGAGGTCTACCATCTTGGCTAAAATTTATCTAATTGCTACAAAGCACATTTTAGATTTTAACAAAATTCAATTATTTATTTGTGGCTGAGCTTTCGATGTGTGCTCCTATCATCATCAGGAAAACAAAAGATGGTATACAGAGAAGAACCTATTTTATACAAATAAAACAGCTGATTTTCGACTGTTCTCAATTAAGCCTGTGACAGTTCATAGTTCCTTGTACTGTAGTTTCTCGATAACAGGAACTGTTTTTCAGTTCGCGTTCAATGAACGGAAAGGGTTTTTCAATTTTCGTTCCTGAATTAGGAACGGTTCAGCAGTTCCAGTTCCTGTGAACGCGAACTACAGTTCTTTTTGAATTAGAAACTGCTCAGTGTCCTTTAGTGATTTGTTGATATATTATGTATTTCATTTCGCAAACATAAGATTTTGAAGGAGTGAAAACTGAAAAGAGATATGCTCAAAGAGACTCCCAGATTAGGTGGTAGACTTTACTGATTGAACTTAGTTCGTTACTTCTTAAGATCTTGATCTACCAACTAGCAATACTAGCCACAAGTGTAGCTAGCGAAAGTACGTTTTCGCAAGCTAATAATTTTACAAGAAAAAATAGACTAACACTAACTGTGAGGAAGTAAATTGTGAGGGTGGTTTTCTCAAAAATCCTCAACTTGACAAAAAACTAAGACCTAATTCAAAAATCGGCGCCGTTCAGTCTATATAGTTTGTTTTCCTCTGTTAAACAAAACAAGAAAGAACCCTCTACGACAAACCACTATTAAAAATCTTGGAAAATACTTTAAGTGTAACTCCCATGTAGAGAAAACGCTGTATAAATACTCAATTTTAGGACTTGTAGGAAAATGCTTGTAACGCTTTTAACACAAGGTAATACAGAGCTGTGCGCGGTCTTATTTTGGTCAGAAACCTTTGCTCTACAAATCTATAAGTTGAGAAGAAAAATTTAATTGCATAACTATCCAAGAAAAGGCTATTATTTGAAGGCGAACTTGCTTGAAAGCCGCGAAAAATTATATCTATAACCGAAAGCG